ATCTCCGACATCACCCTGCTGGATGACCTTTATGCCCTTTGTTGGTATCGGCTTCTCGTGCAGGGCACCGAGGACCATGGACGATTGGTCGTCATCGAGATGTGAGAAGAGGAAGTTGCCAGAGACTGCCGACTTGAGACGCGACAGCTGGTCGGGCGTCTTTTGATGAAAGGGCGGGGTAAAGTTGTCGGCGGCACTTGAGGTGGGGTTGAGCGACTCGGCCGAGACGGAGGTGCGCCTGTTGGTGTTGTAGTTGTTGGGGAAGGTCTGGCCCTCTCCGACAAGCGGCGGCATCTGGGTGATGTTGTTCTTGGAGGAGCCGCCAAAGCCACCAAAGTTGCCAAAGGCGCTCTCACCGACGGGGCTCAGGTTGCCGTTGTTGCGGACGCGGGCAAAATCGACGGCAGCAAAGGTCGAGGCTGTGGGCGACGTCATGGTATCGTTCTCCTCTTCTTCCTCAAGGCGGTGCATGGTCGTCTTTGCAAAGCTGCTGCCGCTGCTGGGCGAGGTGCTAAAGGGGTTGTTGCCCGGGAAGCTGTTTTCGGCACGGCCCTGATGGCTGGCGTGCTGTTGCGACAGCAGGTACTCTGTTCGCTGCGACTCGAGGCGGCGGTTGAAGAAATTGGCACAGAATTGGAGGATGTCGTGGGGCTTGTGCTTGAGGATTTCGCGGTCGAGGGTGGAGATTTCGTTGGAGTAGTCGGGAGGGAGGGACATGAGGGCGGTGGGCGGGTGGTGAGGGGTTGAGCGCAGCTCTTTGACGTCGGTCGTCGGTCGCGAGACGTGCAGGGATGGAGGGGGGGAGGGGGGCAGCAGCAGCTGGCAGTACGGCGAGGATCCAAGGGCAGCGGCGATGCGAAGTTCAAGGGGTGGAGGAAGGAGGAGACGGGGGGAAGCAGACGACGGCGGAGGTGAAGCTGGGCGGCTAGTAGAGAAAGCAATTGTACTGTAGGTGCAAAGGCCCCCGGGGGTGAGGGCGCAGTGATGACGCGCTGGGCAGAGTGGGTGGTGGGTGGGCAGGCAGTCAGAGGGGGGGAACTACTAGACAGTAGCAGTAGCAGCAGCAGTGATAGGTAGGGATCAAGGCAATGGAGCTGGGGGCGTATTATCTTCCAGAAGGCCTCTAGAAACTCTCGTCTGGCTTGAGGCGCTCACGGCGACATTTAGGCGACGGCTTGTCTGGCAGGCGTGAGTCAATGTCTGGTGCTTGTCCATGCAGTGCTGCCATGGATCAAAGAGCAGATGCCAATAGGCGTGTGTGCTTTAGCTCCCGCTTGCTGTCCATGGCTGGAGCTTGCGCTAGGCGTCAGGGGAGCTTGCGGCGGTGGCGGGGAGGATGCAAATGCCCCAGAGGCCGTGGGAGAGAGAGAGAGAGAGAGTTGTAGTATGTATGCATGTACAGTAGTAGTAGTAGTAGTAGTAGTAGTAGTAGTAGTAGTAGTAGTAGTACAGAGCAGAGAGGGCTCACTCGCAGACATGGTAGCATCAAATGGTCAACCAAGGCCAAAGGCGAACAAGGCAAAGGCGATGCTTGCCGGCTGCTCGTAGCCACGCAGCTCGTTGTTTCCCTGTAATTGGGCGCTGCTGCAGAGGGAGTGGACAATAAACCACCGAAATGAGCCTTATCTTGCATACTGCATCACCACACGCCCCCCAGACTCTCACCCAAGCGGGTGCAAAGATACGGGCGGGCAAACTATGGACAGACGCAGACGCAGGGACAGAATGATTGTCCGGCCCACCAGTCCACCAGTTCTGATGAGTAGCCTTGCCGTGTTTCACCTTTTATTCGAGACCTTTTGATACATGCGTCTTGCAGACCAAACATTGGGCGGGCCGGCTGACACACGACTGGCGGTGAGCCACAGCCTGGCTATGGCGCAGACGATGCGGTGAGTGCACTAAGACGGTGGTTTGGTCTGTGCAAAGAGTCTCTCGTATTCGTGCATGTGCACAAAGGACATAATGCTGCTCGTCCACGGTGGAATGGATTAATGCACGTGTTAGTTATTAGCAGGACGATGACGCACTCTGGCCGCTTGGGTGGGTGGGTGCGTGGTGCAGGGTCACGTGCCCGACAAGGTTCAGTGTCTGCGAGCTGCGAGCGGGAGGGGCCATGATGTATTCTCGTTTTTGCGGGTGCGCGCGCAATGACCCCAAGCACGAATTGCGCCGCCCACTGCACAACTCGCCCGTGCCAACCGTGGGCGGGTACAGTCGAGCCTGGCTGCTGCAATCAAACTGGCCACACAGGTACACGCACGCAGGCTTTCGTCATTGTACATTTGCTCGCCATCATGTCGTCCCGCCTGTGCCATTTGCAGATTGCGCGCGATCAACGGCATTCCGCCAAGCAATGACGCCGCTAGACCGCGCCGTCTCCAGTCTTGCACCTTGACTGCACTATCGCGCGCAGACTGAACAGCCTCGCCAATTCACTTCCCACAGCGCCTTATCGCCATAATCACCTTGCCCTCCGCCTGCGCTCCTAATCCGCCTCCTGTCTGTCCCCTCCGCATAGCTGCAAGCATTTCTGTCGTGCATACAAACATCGTCCGAGCGCGCGCTGCCGCTTGCTTTAGCTCCACCCGAACCGAGCTCCTGATCCTGCCCTACCAGCCTCCTCCAAAACTGCCCGCTCTTTGCGCCCTCCGACCCATCTCTCTCCTGACTACCACAATCGCATTTCTCCAATCGCCTATTTCTGCTGCGCTGACATGGGCAAATATACTTTTACCTGGTTCGCTTGTCCTCGCCCTGCCTACGACCACAGCTAATCGCTAATGCGCTCCCAGGGAACACGCCGCCAATGATGTCTACGTGACTGGCACCTTCGATGACTGGAGGAAGACAGTCAAGCTTGAGCTGGAAGATGGCGTCTTCAAGAAGACGGTCGAGCTGCCCAAGGTTCACACCCAGTACAAGGTGCGCGCGCCCACTTCCGGCTCTCCCAAACCCGCTGCCACCTGCAGCCTGTCGCGCAGACTTTGCTAACGCCTCTCTTGTCTAGTTCGTCGTGAACGGCAACTGGTGTACCAATGAGACCGCCCGCACAGAGGACGACGGCCACGGCATCATCAACAATGTCCTCTACCCCGAGGACATTGTCGACCAAGTGCCAGTCAACACCTTGTCGTCTGTCGGACCCGAGTCTACGACCGCTGCGCTTGCCGGTGCTGTGCCCAAGGAGAGCGATAAGAGCGCCGCAGATAGCTCTGCCCTGCCCGGTGCCTTCCCCGAGACACCTTTCGCAGAGACACCCGCAGGCGAGGCCCAGACCTTCAATGTCGCTCCCATTCCTGCTACCTCGACTAACGGCAACCCCATTAAGCTTGCGCCTGGCGAGCCCGTTCCCGACCCAAGCACCCTTACCAACAACACCGTAGAGTCGACCGTCAAGCATGACGAGGAACCCGAGCAAGAGCCCTCAATTCTTGGTGTTGCCCCCATCCCAGCTACCGCCGGCATTGGAAACCCAATTCACCTAGCACCTGGCGAACCTGTTCCTGACCCCAGCACTCTCACCTCCAACACCATCGAGAGCACTGTCAAGACCGACCCCGCTTCCTACGAAAAGGCCGATGCTCTTCCCCCTCTTGCTTTTACTCCTCAAGCCGAGCGTGATGCCAAGGGTGGCATGTTTGGTCTCCCTCCTATCACTGGCAACATGATCCCCGAGTCCAGCCTGCCAATGGGAGTCGATGCTAAGACTGAGCAAGACACTGGTGTGACCATTTCATCGGTCGCCCCTACAAGCACAACTGCCGAGCTTGCTGGCCAGGTTCCCAAGGAGCCTCGTGGCGTCCCCGAGACTGTGACCGAGAGCCAACAGCAGGCTCACGTCGAGCCCGAAGCATCCGCCAATGCTGAAGCCGTCCAGGAGAAGAAGGAGGTCGAGCAAGAGCTGAAGGAGACTGTACCTGAGGCACCTGTCACAAGCCAAGATCCCACTCTGGGTGATCATGCTCAGGCTGCAGTCGCTACCGCGGCTGCTGGTGCCACCGCTGGCGCAGGCCTCTTTGCCGCGGCTGTCTACACTGCCAAAGACAAGATTGCCGAGACCACTGGTTTGAACGGACCTAGCACAACCACTGCCGACGAGGTACCCAGCGTCGTTGCTGAAAGCCAAAACACCGCACACGCTGAGCCAGAAGCGGCTGCCAGTCCAGAGGTTGTTGCAGAGAAGTCTGCCGTTGAGCAAGAGCTTCTCAGTGAGGTCCCCAAGACGACGGAGGCTGGCGAACCCGCTCCCGCCATTGCAGTCCCCGCTGTTGTCTCTGAGAGCCAACAAGCCGCACACGCCAGTCCTGAGGCAGCCTCAAGCCCTGAGGTGGTTGCAGAGAAGTCTGCCGTTGAGCAAGAGCTTTTGAGCGAGGTCCCCAAGACCAACGCAACTGGAGAGCCTGCTCCTACCGCTGCCTCCGAGACTGTATCTCCTGACGTCCCTGAGATTGTCGCTGAGAGCCAGCACGAGGCTCACGCTAGCCCCGAGGCTGCTGCCAACAGCGAAGCTGTCACAGAAAAGGCGGCTGTAGAGTCTGAGCTGCTCAGCAAGCTGCCAAAGGCCGAGGAAGCTGGTGAGCCTGCGCCTGTAATTACTGCCGCTACCACAGCCACCGCTCCTGGCGTAAACACCGAGGCGGTCGCTAGTGAGGTGCCTGTTGTTGTAGCTGAAAGCCAGAAGGAGGCCCATGCCAGCCCCGAGGCTGCTAGCAATGCTGAGGCAGTTAGTGAGAAGAAGGCTGTTGAGAACGAACTGCTCCAAGAAGTAAAGCCAACCCACGCTAATGGCGAGCCAACTCCCAGCTCGGCAGCCGTGGACTCCAAGCCAGTCGAGTCCTCCGCTGAGCCTCAGACTGTCACTGAAACCGAGACTGCCAAGCCAGCCGAGTCAAGGCCTATTGACTCCACCACTGATGTCGCCTTTGCCTCTAAGGAAGCCACTTCGACTGAGCAAACACAGCCCGCTGCCGCTGAGGCTTCAGCAGACGCCAAGCCAGATGCCGAAACCTCTGCACCTTCAGGTCAACTGGCACCAGAGGCCCCGGCTAAGAGCCCAAGGCAAGACTCTGACGTGTCTCCCAAGGGCACGCCAGGCAGCCAGAGCATTGTCTCTGCTGCTGACGACAAGAAGAAGAAGCGCCGCTCTTTCTTCGGCAAGCTCAAGGACAAGCTTTCCGGCAAGGACAAGAACTAAACGGTTTATCCATTTCGTTGCTTGTCTGCTCTCCTCGCTAGTCATCTTCAGTTACAGGAGATGATGATGTTGACGGATTGAGCGTGGTAATACCCAGGGTTTCTCTTCACTGCTCTGCTTTGCGTCATATCCCTCCCACTGTTTTCATCGTTCCTAATATGGAGTTTGCTTTTTTTTTCTTGTTTTGGTCTATACCATTTTCCTTGCAGTGTGACACGTCTCCCCCGTAGCAAAATTTGATGTGTAATTTCTTGTTCATCAGCATGGCTCGCAAAGGCTCTCTTGGTGGGGTGGGGGGACTAGGTTGCAAAGGTAGATTGGGAAAGAGATTGGGGGCGGTTATAATACATCTGGCGGGAGGATGGTGTGGGAGGATCTGGTCACGTGCTCTTTTCGGGTCTGGTATTGCGTTATGGGGATATATAGTACTGGCCCATGAATGTATACTTAATCTTCTAGTCATGATTCGTTGGTTTGATTTCCCATGTTGTTTTCGCTCTTCTAGCTGTTGGGTGGTTATTTTGGTTGGTTAACAGGTCATGTGACGTTTTTTCCACTTCACTCTATACACAATGTCAAGCATATACAAAAACTTCATCTCACCTCTGATGTATCCATACAATGTCTTTCCAAAACACTTGACACAACGCCCTTGTACCACCTTTATAACTCACTCTCCACTATGTGCTGCCCCCCCCCCTTTCCCACCCCTTCACCGTCGCATCTTTGCATCTTCGCCCGGAAAGAAAACCCTCAAAATCGCAACTGTTTTTCAAATATTTTTTTTAAAGAAAATGAGAAGAAACACAAAACTCCTTAACTCACACGGATTTTAAACCCCCCCTTTTTGGTCGCTGTTCATTTTTATCGCCGTTTTTAATCAAAGCCTACAATGCCTCTCCCTACACCCACACAGTCTATGCAACCTCACCCGTGGTGTGCAGCCACACACCTCTACCCACAAAATGTCTCCACAAATCTCCATTCATCCCACCCCTCCACCCGCCTCCATCCCCGCCTCCCCCGAACCCACGCTCGCACCAACTCATCAGACCTCAAATCCCTCATCGACGAGCACATTGCCTGGCAAGATAACGCCATACGACCTGGTACGCGGGGCACACTGCTTGTAGATTGGGATGGGAGTGGGGAACCGCTTTTGTCGTATCGATCTGGGCGTGTTTTTGCGAGTTTGGTAGGTGGTGAGGGTGGTGCTGGGGTTGTGGATGGTGTAGATAGGGAGGATGAGGAGGATGAAGATGGGGGATTTGAAGAGAAGGAAGGGTCGCTGTTGGAGTATCCAGGCGAGGATGAGGATGGAGGGGGCATTTTGGGACTTGAGGAGGAGGAGAGAGGGGTTAGGGAGGTGTTGGAGGAGATGCTGGAGACGATGGTGAGGAGAGAGGGGGTGATGGAAGGGAAGGGTAAGGATGTGTTTGAGGAGGAAGAGAAGGGTAAGGAGATTGTGGGAGAACAAGAGAAGAAGGGGAAGGGTGAGGTACAGGTGGGGTTTTTGATTCGGAGGAAGCCGGTTCCCGTTAGGCAGTCGGGTCCTGTACAGCAGTCAGTTATTGTACAGCAGTCGGGGGACGAGGGGAAGAAAGACGTTGGAGTGAATGTGAGTGTTGACAAAGCAGTTCCCGAGGCTGGTAAGGTGCTTCGGGAGGTACCTGCTGAAGAGCAGGTGGAGAGATTCCCTCTATTTTACAGATATGAGGAGGTGCCTCGTGAGCGCGAGGAAGTGAAGAGGAAACAAAATAGGAGGAGTGTAGGGAGGTTAGCTGAAGTACTGAAGGAAGAGGGGCTGGAGGTTTGGGGTATGTTGAAGTACGAGGGGAAAGAGTTGATGGCCGTTTTAAAATATGAGGGAAAGGGATTGTTGGAGGAGGTTAAGGAGGATGGCAAAGAGTTGTTGGTGGGTTGGAAGGAGGAAGGGAGGTGGCTCTCGGTTGTGCTGAGAAACGAGTGGAGAGATGGCAGGATGTTTGTTGGGAGGGGGATTAAGAAGGTAGTGTGTCATATCTAGAGAACTTTCTGTGCGTTTACTAACAGGAAAATAGGTGAAAATATTTTTTGGGGTATAGAGTTTTCAAAACTACAAGGTAACCAGGAGTGAAGAATGATTCCGTCGCTTGCCAGTGAAACAGATTGTAGATGATATCCATCATTCTAGCCAGCTACCATCTGTAATATCTCCAGAACCGGTTTCTTTGAATGCAAGAGTACGGAATTCGTCTTGCAGCATTCGTCTAACAAGCTATGCTCTGCTAGTAGGTCAAACTGATCCGGGTGAACGCCAACCTCGCTCAGTGATCATAGCAGCCTCAGGTGCCACACGAAAGAAACTTCGCGATTCTTGCTGTCTTTTCAGTATTCCAATAATCCGAGAATCAGATGACGCAGGCTGCGTAGAGCCGCTTCCTCTGCGGATGGACCCATACCACCCACAGAACAGAATGCCTCCACACAATGATATACGGTTCACATTCCCGTGCTCAACCACACAGAGGGCGGCATGGTTGTGCATAGATCTGGGTCCAAGATCATGAGCTGCGGGCCTTGTATCGGTGAACCGAAATGGTGCTTCTTTCGCGTGCTATCCTTACTGGCGCCTGCAGAATCTGTACACTCTCCGGCCTAAAGGGATGTAGGAATGGATACGACTGGTATAGTCGGGGGATTAATCATCTCAAGCTTGTTCAGCCCTGTGGCTAACCTAGAAATGGATTTAATTACAACTGCGAAGACCTTGACAGCGTCCGTCAAAGAATCCGCTCCCAGTGTCAGAGGTAAATCTGTTTTTGCTTCTCTAGCTTCGTTTACAACGCTGACTACTTCAGACCAGTATGTAAGGGGTTTCATTCCAATGTGATAGCCAACCAGCTGATCGTCTAGGCTTTCCTTCAGCTACTGAAACGCATTGGTGCGTGCGGCCAAGCTGCCAGAACAAAGCACGTACACTCTTGAGCACTCAAAGGTGTTTCACAAGTGGCGGGTAACGGCCTCGTGGAAAGGTATTCCATAGGAAAGCAAATGATGGTCGTGACCATCAATAGCGGGTCGAATTGTTTCACTTATGGTTTTTGAGGGTAAAGATGGTAATGTGTAGGTTCTTCAAGATCCCTGGCCCAGCTCATCTCACCCATTTTATCTAACGAAGGATTCGCTCTAGTCCATACTTCGGCTTCCGGTAGGATAATTTCTAGAGTGGGCCCAGTTGATCAGTATACCAAATTGCTGCCTCGACTGGAAGAGTTGATTGCGCAAGCTCCGAGCGTTGCTATCAATGCTTCCAGTCTCATGATATTATAGGTTTTGTAACTCAAGAGGCATGTTTCCTAAGGAAAGGAATAGTTCATGCCCATTTTACTACTATTGTACGTGCCTAGCTTAGATCGTAAACAAGCTAGGGGGACGCTTGAAGGCTTTCAGAATTACACTTTCGAAGTTACTCCAATCCAAATATGAGCCGTGTGTGCCCTTTACGGCTTGAAGTCTTGGAGGAACGTCCAGCGAACAGCACTCTTCCATCCCCGCTGTTTCCATTTGTTAGCCAGCTTGGGGAAAAAATCGACCCTGCCCAGCACTAAAGAGTCGTGTGCAATTAAAACCAGGACATGTTCATCTCCGTCGAATAAAGACATTTTGTCGGCTGATTCCAACAATTTTGGATAATCTTGCATCGAGTCGTCTTGCACAATCTGATTGTAGAAGGGTTTTGTGGGCGATTTTTGCGGATGAAAATTCAAGATGAAAGACCCTGGGCATTCAGTTCCGGGGGCAAATGGTGGCGTCGAGTAAGGAGAAGGCGTGACTACATCAGGGAGGGGAACGTATTCGCTTGGTCGGAACTCACCACAATGGTGGCAGGTATCGCCGCCCAGGTAGATGAAAGTGTCCGGGGTAGTGCGCGCCAGTGCATTGATGTGGCCCACAGTGTGCTTTTGTTTACGTTAGCATCATATACACATGATTAAGATAGCATGCGGAGAGATCATGGATGCCATTGCAACTTACCCTTGGAGCATCCAGAATGTAAAAACTTCCGTCACCAAACCAATCTATGGCATCAAATTTGCTGAATCTCAAGGCTTTATCTCCTTTGAAATTTAGTTCGATCAAAGGTCGGTCTCTGTTACAACGCTCTTAGTATTTCGAGTCTAGCAAAGTATTTACAGTGATGGATGTCTTACTTGTAGTCACTTTCTAGTATCAGGCTATGCTCATCAGCAGGATAGCCAGGGACTAAGGCGTTGATAAAACCGGGTCCGACGATAAGTTTTGTGCTGGATGGAAAGCGTGAAATGTCGCCTATGTGGTCCAGGTGCCAGTGACTGCCAAGTTTGTTAGTATTAGTTCTTGAACATCAGCGAAAACACTCTACCTCCAAAAACTTCTTCAGTCTCTTTCCTCTTGATGCCATTCTCCTCGAGGACGTCTAGGACATCCTTGTCGCCATCGAATACTAGACCGCCTGCAGCCATTATTTAACGGAGAGCAGGGGCGAAGTTCTCAGGGTCTTTGCGAGTGGCCAAGTCGAAGAGGATCTTTTTGCCCGACGGATGCTCAACAGGAAATGAAAACTGAGGAGATCTGGAGATCTCATGACACTTAATAACGAGGTCCGAACAATAACTCGTAGGTATGGATAATCTGTTCCCGGTGTCGATTATGCGAACAGTGACAACATTGTTTGAAGCAGGAACTTCAAGCGAAGGTGATTTGACAGCAGCGACTTCGAAAGCCATTGTCATGTGTTTACTACTTTCGGTAGTTGCGATAGATGCTTACAATTTTGGGTGATTCAACGATTGGAGAACAAGGGTTGATTAAATTTTAACAATGGGATCTTTTTTGAATTAAAGGTTTTCCACTTCTTACAAGAGCTTACTAAAGTAAAAGAAACATGACAAAATCCAGCGATTTGTAATACTGTTTTTCCCCGTCAGTTACATGTGTAGTACTACCCGAGCTATGATGATGCAAGTATTGCTCTTTACGTAAGACATGGTATCTAAGAGCCTGGTAGCCCGTGAACGTCGGCTCGTGGAGCGACAAGGTATCGCCGTACTTACCCTGCTACTAATGTGCGACAAATGCCAACCAGTGCACGTTCCTAGACGTGTCACGCGCGTCCATCGTCGCAATAAAGTTACTCGATTAACAGCCCATGCCCTCGCGAATTCCGCTAATACTGTCCTCACTCCTCGGTTCTTGCGATTATAAACCTGCAACCCCATTGTCAATAGAAGCCATGGTTGCTGAGTTACAGCATGTGAAAGCCAAAGTGCTGACGCGCGTTTAGTGTTCGGCGTGCATGGATACGCTACTGGCGGTGACGGTATTTCATGTCCCCTTCTTCAGAGCATTGAGAGCGAGGCCTGAGTGTTCAAGATGACAATAGGAAAGCGTTCCAGAATTTTGGGATACACCAGTAGCTTGGTTGGGCCCATTGTGCTGAGCAAGAAACCACAAAGGAAAGCTCGACTTTTAACCCCCCCACTTTTGCAGTTAGCACGATACAAAAACAACCATGACCTTCAAAACACTCAATGCCCAACGCAGCGAGCTAACATGGCTATATCAGACACGTAGTAGCAAAGCGAAGACATGAACGAAGAAGTGAACGCTTTTTTCTTCGTCGTCTCGAATCCACGAATGCTACTGCGTCAAAAGTCAACACTACAGAACCATATCTTGCCAGGCCCAGTGCCCACGCCAACCCTGTTCCCGCACTTCGCAGAACGTGACGGCCGATACTCTGATGGTATCCACAGGATATTCTTGCCATGATGCTGAATCCACGTCTTATCTGGGCTAACTCTTATGTCTATATTTAAGGAGCGCCCATGTTCCGCCGTAACTAGGAATCTTGGACTAGCGTCGCCATGAAGGACAACAGGACCGGTCTTGGTATAGAGAGGTGAGTCAGTGGGGTTGAAGGCTAGGTCGTAACTGCGCCAGCCGAGGTCCACCGTCGACAGGCACGCGCCGCTTCTCACATCCCAGAACTTGACGGTCATGTCGTCTGATATTGATCCCAGCTTCGTTGAGTTTTCCACGAAACCCACAAAAATGACCTGCTTTTTGTGGCCGGTAAACGTCTGCAAGCAGGTGCCAGTGGTCGTATCCCACAGCTTGACAGTCTTATCACTTGATGCTGATGCTACTAGCTTAGTCGAATCGTGTGGGAAGGCTACAGATTGGACAAGACTACTATGACCTGTGAGTGTTTGTAGGCACGTACCGCTGCTTACATCCCACATCTTGATAGTATAGTCATTTGAAGCTGACGCTAGCTGTGTTAAGTCGTGTGAGAAGGCGACAGAGGTAACACTATCGCTGTGCCCTTCAAACGTCTGCAAACACACCCCGCAGCCTGCATCCCAGAGCTTGACAGTATTATCGTGCGATGCTGATACTAGCCTGGTCGAATCGTGGACGAAGGATATAGAGTTGATAGAGCGGCTGTGGTCCGCAGACGTCTGCATACATGCGCTACTGATGTCCCATAGCTTGATAGTCTTGTCGTTTGATGCTGACGCCAGCTGACTCGTATCGTGCGAAAAGACAACTGACGTAACATGAAACATATGACCTTTAAACGTCTGCAGACACACGCCACTGCTCGCATCCCACAGCTTAACAGTAAGGTCGAAAGATGCCGACGCCAACTTAGTTGAGTCATGCGAGAAGACCACAGACCTAACGTGTTTACTATGGCCTATGAGCGTCTGTAGGCACATGCCGCTGCCTATATCCCATAGCTTGATGGTCTTGTCGTTCGATGCTGACGCTAGCTTCGTCGAGTCATGCGAGATGACTATAGATTTCACACAAGCATCATGGCCCGTGAACGTCCGTAGGCACATGCCACTGCTTATATCCCAAAGCCTGATTGTCTTGTCAGTTGATGCTGAAGCTAGCTTAGTAGAGTTGTGTAAGAACACTACAGACATAACAGCAGCACTGTGGCCTTCAAAACTATGTCGGCATGCGCTGGTGCTTATGTCTAATAGCTTGACAGTATAGTCCTCTGACCCCGACAATAGCTGATTTGAGTCATGTGAGAAGGCTACAGAGGTGATAGCCTCACTATGGCCTGTGGAAATCTCTGAGAATGTACCGCTGCTTATATCCCATAGCTTGATGGTCTTGTCTTTTGATGCTGACACTAGCTTGGTTGAGTCATGCGAGAAAGATATAGAAGTGACAGTTTCGTTGTGGCCTGTAAAAGCCTGCAGACACGTGCCGGTGCTCATGTCCCAGATTCTGACGGTTTTATCGTCTGAAGCCGATGCTAGCTTAGTCGAGTCGTGCGAGAAGGCTATAGAGGTGACAATACTGGTATGACCCTCGAGCGTCTGCAGGCACGCACTCCACCCAGTGCTTATTGCTGGCTCAATGGTCACTCCCTTCGGCTTCTCGTGATAGAAGATGTTTCTTATTGTGCTCCCTGTCGGACTGAACAACAGCGCAGATGCGTATACTTGTAAAGGATAGCTCTCAATTGCGCCTTTGTGATACATCAAGAATCGTCGTGCGTCGTAGACAAGCTTAGTTAGCTCATCTATGCCCTTCATCTCCTAGTATAGTTAGCATCTACGTAAATTCAAGTAAATTACACAGGCATGTTGTCTATGCGTGTCATACCTGGACCAGAGAATATAATTTTGCCATCGAAACCACGCTTTTCCCTATACCCTTGCACAAGCTAAGCCCTTCTAGCCAATAGAGATACTTCTCTTTTATGAACCTGTCAACCACACCTACAAATTGCAGGTCGTTGACACTTTTCCCGTGAAACTTAGGTTTCGATTCGTACAAATGATCAATCCAGTAGACGCACGGGTAGCGTGATGCAGCTAGTGGATCGTGATCAGGCGGATCAGCATTCTCGATAGGAACCCCCGGTACTTTAAGGTTATACATGTCCCTCTGTAACGTCCTGGACAGATTGGCAAGCGACCTTGAGAAGATGATCTGGTGAGCGTCTTCAGTCCCATCAGGAAAGACTTCATCAAACGCTTCTGCAAAAAGAAAATCTTTGGCAGACTGATGCACAAAATAGACTGCGTCTTGTCGCAAAGTAAGGAATGATCCACAGAGGCTGATAATCTCCCGCAGCTCTATTTCATCGTCTATACCTTCGAGCTGTTCAGCCAGGACTACCAGTTCCTGCAGCGCAATTGGCCGATACACCAGTCCAATCAAAGCCAGCACCTGCTTACAAAGTGTGGCGTCATCTGAAACGCTAATCCGCTGCATCATCCGCTTATATAGTGCGTCTAGTCCTGGTGGGAACAAGCCTAGCTTCTTAAGCACGTTTCGTCTCGCAGTAGTTTGAAGGTCTTGACAGACTAGTGCTACCCATAAGAAGGTGTCGTTTGCATTCGATATCAAGCGCTCGAGTACTGCGTCTCTGGTTTTTTCGTCGTATTTCTTTTGTTGTGCTAAGTGAAACACTTTGTGCTGGATAAAGATACCAACAGCTGCGGACACAGAGTCAGCATTCAGCTCAAGACTTAGTGGTACATTGCGCTCTGTCTTCCCCAGTTGTTCTTCGATGTCTGGCCAGTTACGACTGGACACTATCCACTTGTTGCAGGTAGAAGACGTAGACGTAGACGTAGACGACTGCTTTGCAATAAAGTCAAGCAGCTTTGGTAAGTCAGTAACGCATTCGTCTAATGCGTCAATGACTAGGTAGATATTGCGCAATTCTGGGTCTCGTAGTACGTCCGTAAAGACCTCTGTCAACGCCACCCAGGCGTTCGCATCCTCAAACAAGGCTTTTCCAGCGTCATCATGCTTCTTACGGATATGCGATACAAGCGACGGCTGCTGCTTAATAAGCATGTATAATAGCCCTCGCAGTACTGCTGTCGCGCTATTGATACGCGAGTCGGTAGCTTGACAGAAAAAATATGCTAGGAGTGTTGTCTTAGATAGTGAGCTGTGCAGCTCGTCTATAATTCCACAGAGTAGCATTGTCTTTCCCTTGCCAGGATCACCTTTTATCCACAGCAGTCCGCCGTGGAGGTCCTGTTGCCATTGCTGGAAAATGGCGTTGTCAAGAACCCAGCGATAGGAATCCGCTAGCAGTCCGCCTTTGGTGTCCTCGATGCGCTTCTTGTCGTCACGGGGATCCGTACCGCGTATGTCTTGGATGCATCTCTCTACTCTATGGACCTCGTCCATTAGACGCTTGAATGCGCTTGCCGCCCCTTCGCTGTACGCTGGGGCTATCTCGACATCAAGGATGCCCGACAAAGAGTACCATGCATCTTCTTCGCGCTTAGTCTCTCTGTCGCCTTTCCAGCGCAGCCGCTCGTCGATGCTGAACTGGGAAAGAGCAGCTGCGTCAAATACTTCGCATGGAATGCCAGTGATTTTGCTGATCAAAAATTTAAGAGATATCTTGTCACCGAGTAACGTCCCTTCCTGAGAGAAGAACTCGACAATGCTTGGAGCAAGAAGCTCCTGAAGTGTCCAACCACGCGTGAACCATCGGCTTGACCTAAAAGCAGATTCCCAATTAGACATATCACCAGACTTCCATGTCCCTGTCGATACATCCGGTAGATACACATAGCATCTTGATGTATTCTGATACCAGCGAAACATAGATCGGATAGCGTGGGACAGCTCAGCCTTATCTGTCTTATCGATGCAGCACGTGTCGACCCAGAAGTATCTTAAGTTATCCCGCTGTGCCTGTTGTCCACAGAAACGTATCTTCTCGTATCCAAGCTTGGTCTTGCCGTCGCCTGTTATGACATCTGCGAAGGTCACCTCCTCCGCATCAGTTCCCCACGTGTGTGAAAGTATCGCATAGGGCGGCAGTGCGCTATCCTCGAAGCGGACAATGCCGAGCTCACCATGTTCGTCGTATTTGAGAAGACGCATCAATTGATGTGGATGCGTGATAAGCGGGTGCGGTGGGAAGGAGATGAGAGAGGCTCAGTGCGGCAGCCTAACAGGACAAGAAGAGTACTATGGCAGCTGACTCTAGCGAGTATGAGGCGGGGCAGATGCGGCTCATGCAGAGGCGCAGTAGCCTACCGCTTCCCTTTATTACTAGTATCGATAACCCAGCTACTACCCTATCTAGACAACAGTCCAACTAATGATACAATCATCTTCTAGGATTGTAGATCTATAACAACTCGTAGTAAAGTCTAAACAGATTCGACTGAGCAAAGAAGGTTAGTAATGCTAGGGCGATACAACACCATACCTAGCTCGGCATAGCACCCCGAAACTCTACCATACATAATAATGGGGTGGAAGCACGTACTCAATTCAAAACAAATCCACTGAAACTACGCACTCAACAATGCATCCAAGTATCTCTCCATTTCTATCTCAAAACGAAACAAATGAAATTCGTAACATCTATCATCATAACCTCACTCAGCCCCTAGAAAAGTCATCCCACAACCCTATCTACTGGGGAATAAGCACACCCCTATACCGCATGCCGCCCTCCCTAAGCACCTTCATCGCCTCCTCAATTCCCTCCTCAGTCATGGGAAACTCCATATTAATCGGCTTAATGCCATGCAGCGCCGAGAAAGCCAGCATCTCCCTATGCACCTGGCGCGCCGCAACCACACTTCCCTGAACCGTAATCCCATTCGCAATCAGCGGCATCTGCGGAAACGTAAAGTCACCATCGGACACGGTCAAGGGGAAAATGGTCGCATTCGTATTCAGCACCGGAATCAAGAGCTTCCAATCCGGGGTAACGGATGCGGTAACGAGCAAGACGTCGACTTTGCGGGAGACAGAAAGCTCAGTGGCGCCCTTCATGGCCACGAATTCTTTGGCACCGAGACGCATGGCTTCGTCCTTTTTGGAGTCGGAGCCCGAGAAGACGACGACGTCGCAGCCCATTTTTGACGCGTACTGGATGGCGAGGTGGCCGAGGCCGCCGATGCCCATGACGCCGACGCGTTGGGTCGGGCGCACGTTGTAGGCGTGCAGGGCGTTGAAGACGGTGGTGCCGCCGCACATGAGGGGAGCGGCTTCGGCGTCTGTGAGTTCGTCGGGCACCTTGAAGAGGAAGGCTTCGCACCAGACGGCGTGCGAGGCGAAGCTGCCTTGGTCGAGGTTCGCGAAGCCGTACATTTGGCGCTCTGGGCAGTAGGTTTCGCGGCCGGTGAGACACTTTTCGCAGTGCCCGCACGAGTTGTGCTCGTAGCCCCAGCCGACGCGGTCGCCTTTCTTGAGGACTTTGACGTTGGGGCCGATGTCTTCGACTACGCCGACGCCTTCGTGGCCGAGGGCCATGTCGGCGTGCTTGTAGTGCTCGTCTGTGCCGCAGAGGCCGGAGGCGGTCACTTTGATGAGGACTTGGTCGTCTTGGAGATCGGGCTTGGTGGTTTGGCCCTTGACAATCTTGCCCTCCTTGGAGCCCTTGAATACTGTGAATGTCGGCATCTTGGTGTTTTGTCTGTTATATCAAAGTTCGAACTCTGAAAAAGAATTTTAAAAAAAAGGAATTGTTCAATCGCTTCAGATTCGAATCTCGTAAAAGCACACAAAAACTGGGTTTGGATAATGAGAGAGAAGTCCAGAAACAGCGAACACCTCTTAGTCTTATACTAAATTCAAGAAGCCAAAAAAACCCACTCATTCTTACACCAACATTACCAACCCCGAAAAGCAGTTACCCATCCCTCCCTCCCCCCCCCCCCACATCTCGGCCCGCCTCTCTTAAGCCAGTAAACTCCAAAAACACACCAGCGTTACTGCAAAAAAAACTTTCGCGATCAACCTAGTCTGCATGACGTCGCTCATGAATAATACAACCACCAGCACCATCACGCGCAGGGGTCCTACTTTCCGAGAAAAAGAACGTAGTAAAACAAGCATTATCCCGCATTCTAGAACCCCGGCGATATCTTAGCCCGCAAAAAAGAGATGTACATAAGCCGCTCGGAGGCTGCCCCTCCTAGACCAACTTTCTTCATGCATCGGCCGCGCGCTAAGGGGGGGGGCTAAATGCATGGCGTAGACGGAGCAAGTTGCAAGGGAGCTGGTTTCTTCAGCTAACATGGAGCGCAAACAAGTAATCAAAAATCTATAGATTTACATTCTCTCAGCTCACACGCTTGGTAAGCCACTAAAACTCCTCTTTTTTTTTGCAGCTAAACTTGTATGCTATAAGTCTATATTACTACTCCCCCCCTTCCCCCCCCCCCAAAAAAAAGCTTAGCTTTCTACCGAGTGGGAAAAAAATACTGCAATGGGACAGTAATAGGAGTAGTGCATGTCAATCTGAAAAAAAAACATAATCATCACGATGACCATGGTGAATCCCCCTCCTCCCAAAAAAAATAATGCCTCGGTAGATCTCGGCAAATCCGCCATGCCGTATATCGAGTTAGATCCCCCACGGAAAGAGCCGATAGGGCTGGGAAAACATGTGCCAGGCGCGGGATTTTTCTCGCTTGCATGCGGAGCAAGGAATGGAGGAAACGTTGGGGGGTGGTAACTTGTAACTCCGTGTATAATGACGTCATTTGGAGTGGGGGGGGGCTTTTACCTGGCCAGACAGCAGCAACACACGTACAACATGGCCGAACGCGAGTCGGGCCTATGGCATGGGAGAATTTTTTAAACAGTCTTTGAGACTGGGTTTTGGCAGTAAGTAAGGATGGGTGGATTGCTGTTTGTGTTGCTTGCTCATGTCGTTCAGACTGCAAGATGGGTTGCTGGGTATTTGGATTACTCACCCTATGCCGCGTTCTCTGGTACGCTACCGCTTGCTTGTATGCGAAGCTATTGTTGCTGCTGTATAGTGTTGGAGTCTTTTAGATTAGTTGTTCGCCAATGTACTGGTGGCAGTAGTCGATGTTGGAGACTGCTTACTGTGCAGGACGTTTGTTGTCGAGGATGCTTACGATGCAGAACATACCATATCCATATCAAAAGGTCGTCTCATAAGGCTGGGCGTGTCAGCACTAAAACGATTTAGACCAGTGGCATGTGGAGAACTCAGATTGTAGGAATGGAGAAAACATGATTGAGGATTATATCTAGTAGCAAGATAGGCCAGGATATGTTCAGCTCCTCAGTGTTGGATGATTAGTTGATGAAAGGCCGTGTGGGGCAGAGTATACTAGGGGAAAAGGCCTACTGCGTCGAGCCCAGACCCCAGATCCTCCAACAAAACTAATCATAGTACGGATTCTGAATTTCCGAGCTGAAATCGTGATTTATCGTCCGAGATATAAGCTCCCCATGAGTCGTGCGCTCTCTAAGTATCCGCTTGTCCCACCCCCGGGGCAGGAAACAAATGCATCAGTACCGGGAGCATATCCTGCGGTCTCATCATCTGTAAAGCATCAATCGCATTCCTCAATTCTGTGACCATGTTCACATCCTCCTCGAGCCCGTCGTTCTCACTCCTCTGATCCCTTGTCTTCTCCTTGGTTTGTGGTGTAATCGGGACACGAAGAGCGTCAAGCAGTTCATTCCTCTCAACCTCTCGGCTCTTGCGGGGTATGCAAGGTGGACTATCAGTCCCGTAGATATACCCACTCTCTTCTTGCTTTGGTATTGTGCCAGTAGGGATATCATATTCCCTTCTCCTCGGAACCAGGCTCCCCGCGAACTTGGCCACCCTGATGCGATATTCTTCCTTTTCCATATTACTCTCTGCAATATCGAGTTCCTTTCCCCAATCCTTGGTCAGCTTCTTCATAAGGTTCTTCAATAACTTCTTCTGTGCGCCACGGAAGCCAGTGTACAGGTCCAAGGCGCTATTCTTCCAGGTTACGATGAAGATTTCACGGGCATCGAAGAGCGTGGGCGTGTTGTGATGCTCTAGGACAGCAGCAAGATACTGTTTCATGAAGCGGTGAGCTGCATTGTTGATGCGGATGTTTTTAGACTGAGGGGCAGTTGTATCGTGATGACCTTTCTTGGTCATATCCTTACTCATATCCATGCTCTTGGAATGACCGGAGTGGGTCTGCAAATCGTCAAGGGTGAGTAGTGCAATGAACATGGCAGTATTCCACCTCATGGTGTCATGGAAGCGCTGAAACTGTCGTGCTTCATCCAGTCTCCAAAACCAGATGGCCCGGGTTATGTCCATAGTCTGCTTTGCCTCGTCCTTTACCGGCTTTCCGCCATATTGATCGATGACATGTCGGTTGCGGAGGAAGAACGGAAGTTGAATGTCAGGCGGTATGTTAGGGATGTGCAAAGCTCGGACTGTTGGACAAAGGACATCGGACAGTGTGAGAGAGGGGGTATGGAAGGATGGTATGCCTTGTAGCTTGGCCTTGAGCAGGGCGGAGAGGTTGACTTGTTCGTCTTGGCGCGTGCCTGAGAGAGGCTTAGGAGAAGTGCTACACGACATTGTGGATGCGATTGGAGGAGCGGAAGAATCCAGGCAAAGATTTCATCACGATACATGCAGAGTCAGTCATAGGTGGGAGAGAAGGTGATGTGGGTCGTTTTTTCTTCTTGTCTGTTTGTTTGTGTCGGTCAGAGCGAGAGGTGAAGTGAAGGGCAGGTACGACCCTTTTGCACCTTCCTTGGGAGCAAACACCCACACCGCTGCGGGAAATGGAGAGACGGTCAATACATCGTTTCGTACTGCTAGCTGCACTTTATTTTTGCAGAATATCACAAGAATGAGAGATGCACGTTGATTAGAGATTGGAGAGTGAGATGAGAGATCCAAGTAGACCAGCACGAGGTCAAGTAGGAAACTTGGAGTCAGGGCAAAAGGGGGCAGAAGAGAGATCAAGAGAGGCAGGTGTAGATGAAGAAGGCAAGCATGAGAAAGTTTGTGATGGTCTTGTCAGTTAGTGTGAGTATGTGCGCACGACGAATGCTTCTGTTTCCAAACTTCAAACTTGAATAATGCGACATCGGTGTCCAAGAGACTGGACTGACACAATTTCCTCGGCGACGAGTGTGTAGAGTGACTAGTAGATACTAGAGATGAACAGCGAGCATGTCAGGGTATGGTGGGCAACATGGGTTTACCAGCATAGTAGGTGTAGGCGACGGTTCGTTTTAGAGTGGCGGAATACGTCACAACTCATGCGGAAGCCGTTGAGAGACCAGGACAGGGCTGTTTACGCTTTTCAGGGCAAATGGACCCACTTTGAAGACTAATGAGGCAAACATGGGCAGTTTGTAAAGAGGCAGGCTGCGGAATGTAGTCATTTTGTCAGGGAATTTTGGTAGGTACGTGGTAATCGGGCATGGTTACGCGTTCGCAGGCGATCGGTGGGGCTCTGACAGCCACAGGGTGGAAAGATGACGATCTCCAGGGTCAGCCAAGGGAGGAAAATAGGGAGCTGGATGAGGCTGGAGGGCAAAGGCATCGCTGGCTAGTGAGCGGGTACTTACTCTTGAGATTTGCGCAATTGCTGATCCCGTGTTTCAGATTGCCGTCAAGGTTGGCAGGCACACTACAAGTGGATATGTAAGTAAGGAAGTAGACATGGACTTTGTTTGAACGCGCGTTGGGTGACGGCGGGCGATGGGGGTCGTGTGTGTGGTAGAAGCGTCGTTGATTGGCACTTGGATGGTGGTGAGATGGGGGGAGGGACGGTGATGCCGCTCTTGCCACAGGTGTCATTGGCGCATGAGGAGGGAAGCGGAAAAAACGGTACTAGAGAAGGCGCAGCAATATTGAATGACGGCCACGATGGTGTACAAAGAGTACAGGTCAACGGCTCATGGGCCAGGCTAGTCGAGGGCGAGCATGTGTAGGCGGCGCGTGATTGGCTGACGAGGACGGGGCCCTTGGCGCCAGGCGAGGTTTGGGAGCAGTCATCCGTTGGTGCCGAATGCACGGATGGGGTCATTGACCAGACTTGTCGTGCCGCAGAATGCCGGATGGCATAACGTTGACATGTTCTGCCGCAAGCTAATGTGGCAGCAGCAGCAGCAGTGACGGGCGACAGGCGGTGCTGGTGCCGTGTGTCCGTGTTGCAGTTCTGTGAGTGATGGCTTGGAGGTTGTGGTTGTTGTGACGATAGAGTGGTCAAACTATGTCAGCATCATGGCAGCCGTGTTCCCGACAAGATACGAAGGGCTGGGACGGGTGCTTCAGTCAGCGGCCCAAGCGGTCTAGAGGCGCTGCGGTAATTGGCCGCCCGAAATTGTTCCTGCGTGCGAGTGTGGCGAAGCAAAGAAGCCGTCGTGTCTGTCGCTCCTGTCGCCGCGCCCCCCCTGCCAGCCGTGGCCCTGTCGGCGTGTTGCAGATGGTCGCAAAGGAGAAATTACCAGCGCCTGTTTTTAGCAGACGTGAGACACCAGGGGCAACGAGGGAAGGGCACGCGACGATGGCTTGCAGCAGGGAATAGCCTTTGCGGCCTTGGGTTTAGCAGGCGTGCATTTCAATAGTGAATACGTACATGCTAACCAAGACGGTACATACCTGCCACCCAAGAAAGTAGACGCGATACATGCTAAACACCCACACCCACGAGTTGTATAGTATGGCTGCGTACAGCATTACGAGGAGAGCGCTTGGGGCTGGGCAGTCAGCCTGGCTGGACCGCCGGCGCGCACAGGAGCCGCGCGTATTCCCTTTGGCCCACCAGCCCACCTGGGAGAGGACCGCCGTCTGCGTCTCGCTCCCCTGAGAGAGGAGACGGCCTTGGGTGCATAGACCACGGCCCATGGGATCCCTCTCTTCCTCTCGTCCCTCGCTCTGCTCAGGCACTCTCAAAACACTTCGAGTGCGGCCGGCGACGCCCACAGACAAACTACATTACACCACACTACACTGCACACTCTCATTCACTTAGCTGGGCCGCGTCAAGTGGAAACGCCCGCTGATCGCTGCCTGTCCCATCGTTTGGCCTCTTGCTCCCTGCTATTATCCTAGCTGCTAGCCTCCTTCTCCCCAGCCAAGACCCGCCGCCCGCCGCCGCCGCCTCGCTCCTGCCCTGTTTCCTTCCCCGTCGCCCAGCGCGCAACCACCATCTTTCTCGACATCACCACCACCACCCCCCATTTGTCGCTCTCGACAGCCGCTCGCTCTCCCCCCCATACCCCACACCCTGTCAACCCCCAACTCGCTCCCCCGATCCACGTTCGCTGAAGGAGCTTCCCTCGCCGCTGGTCTGGCCGACCAACTTTAGCAGTACTCGTCAGGAGTACGCCCACGCCTACGCCTGAGGCTCTCTGCCTCACCACGCCTTAATACACAACAACACGAACAACACCCACAACACCATCGCCCGCCATGCGCTTCTCCCTCTCCCAGTCGCTGCTATGGCTCGCCGCCGTCGCAGCGCCTCTCGTCTCTGCTGAGCGCCTCATCGAATCAAAGTCGCTCAACCCTTGCATGGCAAACTCGTCCTTCTCAGCTACCCTCTTCAACGTCGCCTTTACTCCCGGTAACCGCAGTTTGGGCTTCAAGATCGAGGGTATCTCCAACATTGCCGGCAAGATCGAGGCCGACATCGAGCTGCTCGTCTACGGATTCTCGGCCATGAACCAGAAGCTCGACCCGTGCGGCCAAGAGGAACTCGAGGGCATGTGCCCCATGAACGCTGGGCCCTTGACCATCAAGTCCAACATCGACATCAGCCAGGACATCATGAGCGCAATTCCAGGTAAGCCGCCCTTGCGCTTGCACTTGTCGCATCCTCCTCTCTAACCCTCCCTCAGGCATCGCATACACCATTCCTGATCTCGACGCCGTTGTACGAGTAAAGATCAAGGATCAAGAAACCCATGTCCAGCTTGCCTGTGTAGAAGCAGAACTGTCAAACGGACACTCGGTCGACCAAAAGGCGGTCGCTTGGGTCACGGCCATTATAGCAAGTTTCGGTCTGATCGCATCTGCCATTACCTCCGGTCTTGGTCACTCCAACACGGCTGCCCACGTTGCTGCAAACGCCATGTCGCTCTTCGGTTACTTCCAGGCGCAGGCCTTTATCGGCCTGTGCGGCGTCCCCCTCCCTCCGATTGTCTCTGCCTGGACCCAAAACTTCCAATGGACCATGGGTATCATCCGCGTTAGCTTCCTCCAGAAAATGGCTACATGGTACCAGCGCGCTACCGGTGGAACACCAACCACCTACCTCTCGCAACTGTCGTACATTTCCGTCGAGATCCAGAAGAAGAGGAGGGTCAGACGTGCCATCGAGTTCACCACCGGAGCTGTCGGTCGTCTCATCGCGCGTAGTAACGCTGCTGCCACCGAGGCCCAGGCTGGTGGAGAGCGTATCGTCCTCCACGGTGTTGAGCGTGTTGGCTTCAAGGCCAGGATTGAGACGACCAACATCTTCTTCACCGGCTACACTTTCTTTGTCATTTTCATCCTCTTGACCGTCATTGGTGTCGTCGCCTTCAAGTACATCTGCGAGGGTCTGGCCAAGGCTGGTAAGATGAAGGGTGACAAGTTTGTTGACTTCCGCAACGGCTGGCAGACTGTCCTCAAGGGTATCCTCTTCCGCGTTGTTCTCATTGGCTTCCCCCAAATGATGGTCCTCAGCTTCTGGGAGCTGACGCGCCGTGATTCCGTTGGTTTGGTCATTTTGGCCATTCTTTCTATGCTTACCATGCTTGGTATACTTACATGGGCTTCTTCCAAGGTCGTCCGTATTGCCCAGCGTTCTATTGCCATGCACAAGAACCCCGCCTACATCCTCTACTCGGACCCTGTGGCGCTCAACAAGTGGGGCTTCCTCTATGTTCAATTCAAGGCCGCTGCCTACTGGTTCATCATCCCATGGCTTGCATACCTGTTTATCAAGGCCATGTTTGTCGGTCTTGCTCAGGGCAGCAGCAAGGTCCAGGGCTTTGCCATTGTCATCATCGAGGCCGTTCTCCTCATTGCTGTCTCCGTCATGCGCCCATGGATGGACAAGAAGACCAACGGTTTCAACATTGCCATCGCTGCCGTCAACTTCCTCAGTGCCTTTTTCTTATTGATGTTTACTGAGGTCTTCAATCAGCCTGTAAGTCACATGCTACATTTGTGCTTTTTGTCTTGATCAAAACTAACATGTCTAGACCATCGTCACTGGTGTCATGGGTGTCATCTTCTTCGTCATCAACGCCGCCTTTGCGCTCATTCTCCTTCTCATGCTTCTCGTCTCATCTGGATTTGCTCTGTTCACCAAGAATCCCGATACCCGCTATCAGCCAATGCGCGACGACCGTGGTTCTTTCATCAAGTCGCAGACCCAGCTGACCACTGAGCTTGATGCTCTTGGTGCAACTGCTCGCGGTGAGGGCAAGGGCACCCACCCCACTGGATCTCGCAGCCGTATCGACGATGACGACGACTACTACTCCGAGGAGCAGCGCCAAATGGCCTCCAAGGAGGGCAACTTTGGCGAGCACTACGCTGCCGCACCACCACGAAGTGCAGGCAATGACGGAAGCAACCCGTCTGCGCCTCCATCCTTTTATGAGAGTCGCAGTCCGGCACCGTCATACCGACCTGGCAGCAATGGCCAGCAGTATCGGCAAGCTAACAGCTCAAGCCCATGGCAACGGGGGGCAGGATATGAACATTGACGCCAGAGCGAGCACGAGGAGCAGGTGGGCCAGATAATTGATTCGTACAAACGCTCCTCGGCCGCTCAGCAACAGCAACAGCAAAATCAACAAAACAGATATTAGGCCATCTCTACGCCTTGTGTATATCTCGAGTATCCATACAAGAATATATTGTAATCATCAATCGAGTTGGGGTTCGCATTGAAGAGTGCGTATGGCACGACTAGACCCTCGCCACTACTAAAGGCGACTTTCATCTTGGACACCTCTGCATCCGCTTGGACAGGGCTGCACCATGTCGCTCTTCTTGGGAGCGACTAAGCATGGAGGAGGATAATGTTACCTGTATATTCATCCGGCATATACGTAATCATCCCCTTTCCTCGTGCGCCAGTTTTTGTACTTTCCTTGCGTATGGGTATTTGGGAATTTCCTTTGTTTCTACACGGCGTGTCAACTGGATCAGCCTTGTTTCGATCTTTTTGTTTTTTTGATATCAAGCATGTGTGCGCACATGTTCCGCTGCAATGAGCTGCTGCTGAGGAGGGGAGGTAGGAAAGACGGAGAGATAGACCTACGCAGAGAAGAAATCAATCATTCAAATAGACAGTACTGCCTTGCCCTGTTCCGCCATGGTGACCGGCGATTGACTTTGACCTGTCAATAGAGTGAACCAGATGATCTCGAGGTTTGACGTTGATAGTTGATAGTGCAGCCATGGCAGGTTTGGTACAAGCCCCACTTATTGTGCATGCCGGCGGCTATCATGAACGAGAACAAGATAAACTTGTCGCATCTCGATTACCAAGTTCTGCTCGGTCAACATTCGGTTCGTGCATACTAATTCTCCGTGCCAATGCGAAGGCGGGGAATGGCTGAATATCACACAGCGTATCGTTGACTTGTTGATCGGCCGAGGTCCGCGTGGGTGACTTGTTGATAGCTCCCGCATACTCCGCCATGGATCTTCCCAAGTCCGCGGTGACTTGCTCTTGCACTCAAGCCTACACTGATTTGAGACCTTGTCTTGAGCATGGTAAGCCTAAAGACAACGAAGAGCGCTCTTAAAGATCTACCAGTCTAAACATGCGATGCAATCGACGCTGCAGGAGCCAAGGGAAGCACAAACGCCGATTCGCCTCAGTCTCATTGCTTGCCATCTGATCATGATACTGCTGGTGATGACGACGATGATTGCCAGCGCATGGACAGGCTCACAATGCAGGTTGACTATCCACTATCCAGGACAGAGAGACGACACGCACCTCCATCATCGGGCTGCGAGAGAAAGACATCTCCTAACCAATACGTCACTAGCAAACATGCTTGCTCTCGGACAAGACGGCAGCCAAACGATACATGACGGACAGAGCCAACGACAAGCTAGCGATAACTCAGAACTGCTCCACATGATCCCCACGATCTCATGATTTTTTAAAACAATTGTGCAGTCAGCGACGACGTCACAGAGGCACGTCGGCATACAGAGATACCGGAATATCGCCGAGCGAACAACTTGACACACACAACAACTAGGTTTTTCGGCGACACTCTCAGAGGCTGCCAAGCGGATTGCCTGAGTTGGAACACCCAAGGGCAAGTAAACCGCAATGAGGAAGCAACACGTCTCTGCAATGGGTAGACGTCCCGTAGCCCAATCAAACGGCGCACGTTCCTACGGGCCTGGGGACTGATTGGAGATCCCAAAGCCAAGGATGCGCCCTCATTTGCACGCCCTAGCCAACAGCTAGTCGCGACCATAACCCGGGAGGGAAAGACGGGTGAATAAGGTGTGACTCTGGAATGCCCCGATCCGCCTCGAAGAAGCACCTCTGTCTCCTCCCCCCCTGCGAATCACATTCCCGACTGACACTTGGGCTAGAGTTGCGCGCGGTTGCCTGCGCCCTGGCTACGTCTCCGGGCCCGATGGGTGTCTCACCCGCCCCCCGCAGCCCATTTCTGCTTATAGACCGTTTGCAACTCCGATCCTTTTTCTATCGCCTCTCTGATACAAAACCACGTCCCTTTATTTTTCCCGCTGCACCACGCCCGCGCGTACCGCGATTCTCCTGAAACCGCAAAATATGCTTCCGCCTACTATCTGGTAGGACGCGCCAAAGTGTATTAGCGGAGGCGTCTCCTTATCTATTGTACCATTACCTGTATCACTGTTTATTTTCTCGCTTTCTTTGTCAGGTCGCTTCTTCCGATTCCGGCACAGGGACTGACATACCGCAATAAAACAAGCCAAAACCCGGGGTCCTTCGGCTTTACAGGTTTCCTCCCTCGACTTTCCAGAATCCCGTCTCCGTTTCGCATTGGTTCTCGGGGTCTATTGGGCAACTCTAAGCTCGCATTGTGTTTCAGCACTCAACAAAAAACTTTAACACGATACACCCGCACACTGTAACCGGACAGTGAAATTTGTCAGACGTGAGCACTGTCAAGTCACAAATCCCCAGGGAAACCATCATGGCAGAACCTCCCCGATTTACCTTACCAGACTCGAGGGAAGAACAATTGAGATTCACATTACAGCCCACGACAGAGATAGACACTAGGCAGCTGCCACAACTTCACGTACGCACCGACAAAGTAGTAAGAGAAGGATACCATCTTGCTGTTCCTGGGAAAGAGCCGGGACGGTCCGCGGCGCCCACTCTGTCAACGCCACCGGCATCGCCAACCAAACGTCGTTCTTCAACCATGGGTACGCAGGACATCAAGATGCTGCACGACAGTGGTGCCATTACTCCTCCAGGCACACCTCACATTAAGGCGCACTCAAAGAGTAACTCCACTTCGTCTGATTTTCTGAGTTCATTATCGGACTTACGTCGCGGAAGTTCTGTGTCGTCGAGGGGCCGTCCTCGACTTGATTCCCTCGAGAGCACGCCACAGCCCGGTAGCACAGAACTCATAACCTTTCCGCACAACGTTCGGGACTACGAGATTTGCAAAGATGACCGAGGACGAAAGAAGAAGATTGGCGAGGGCGCATGGAGTGATGTGTATCTTGCAACCCCTTGTCTCCCTAAGCCGGCCAGCCAAACCTCATCCCAAACTCACTGCAGTCCTGACATGACACCACCCCTAACCCCCGTGCGTGGTGCAGACTCGAGCGCAAGTCTTACGAAGCTACCCCCTACACCCATTCTCTACGCCGTCAAGGTCCCCGCCATGACGAGCGCGAAAAAGGTCCTCAGCGCCGAAGCCCGCATCCTCTCCTATCTAACCCACTTCCCGGACGCTGAGCACCACATCGTCTCATTCTATGGCCTCGACACACGTAGCGGCTCACTCCTCCTCCGGGCAATGGACGATACCCTAGAAGGCTGGCTCCAAAAACACCTCAACACGCTCGACGAACCGGCCCGCGCCGAAAAACTAACCACCATCTTCCCACGAATCGCCATCGCCCTAATCGACAGCCTCATCTGGATGCAAGACAAACACTGTACCCACGGCGACATCAAACCCTCCAACATCCTCGTCTCCACCACCCCTTCTTCCTCTACCCCTAAACCCCTTTACTCGGATTTCTCATCTACAACCCTCACCCTGCCCAACACCACAATCGACACCAGCACCTCGCCCCTCGGCGCAGGAACTTGGGACTACCTCGATCCCTCACTCCTCACCTCAACCTGCACATCTCCGCCCTCGCACGCTACCGACCTCTGGTCCCTAGCCATCACCCTGCTCTTCGTTGTCCTAGGCGCCTCGCCGTATGATGCGTTCCGCCATAACAAGTATCAGCAGCGCGAGATGATTAAGAGTGGCTGGCCCCTCCAGTGCTTGGGGTATGATGAGCAGGGTATGCGGAATATGCAGCGGATTAAGGCACTAGAGAGCGGGTTGGGTCTGGATGTTATGGCGTGGTTTGGCTTGGTTTTGGTCAAGGAGCAGGAGAAGAGGGTTGGGGTTTTGGAGTGGAGGAGGGGGTTGACTGGGTAGGGTTGGCTTGGGGAGACTTGGGTTTGAGTGACTACGGTGGTGGTGAAGATTGATGCCTCCCCCCTCCTTTTTCTTCTCTTCTTCTTCTTCCTCCTCCTACCCCTCTTTTTCTCCTTTCTTTTTTTTCACCCGCTTACGTTCTTAGCGGGGGGTGTCTTTCTTCACATTCAAAGACTTTTTTTTCTTCTTTTCTCATATATCCCCCATATTTTTTTTCACTTATTTTTCGCAAATCATACTTGGTTGCATATAGGACTTTCGCTATCGCTAGATACCCCCCCTTTTTTTTGGTCAACGGACCATTTCAACTATAAACTTGGTAAAATATACTTGGTAACGTTTTTATATATTTATACTCCCCATTCTCACATTGTGTGATCTATAGCTTTCATAATAATACCACTTTCGATTCCCTGGCCTACCTTCTTTGTCTTTCTCAAAAAATGGAACTTACATGTCTACAGGCGGCTCCGGACATAACGGCGGCGCATCACTCGGTTCCTTTGGCGGAACCGGTCGTTTCCCTTGTACCCTCTCCCCTTTGACAAACACGGGTATCACGCCCCCCGTCTCAAGCGCAAACTCCTGAGTCCAATCAGTATACATTCCCTTCTTTCCCATCTCCAACCCCCTTTTTCTTCTTCTTCTTCTTCTTCTTCTTCTTCTTCTTCTTCTTCTTCTTCTTCTTCTTCTTCTTCTTCTTCTTCTTCTCCTCCAATCAGGTGTAACAGGGACTAGAACGAAGAAAGGAGGGAAAAGAAAACTTACCCGATGTCCCAACCCCACCAACAAACTCCCAATCGCCCCCGAATGACTCGTCATCGACACCACCACACCCGCATCCGCCTCAAACACCTCATCCAGCAACATCGCAAGTCGATAATTCCTGGCCGATCTCGGTTCGCGGTAGTCAGCCAGCCACAACTCGTCTTCCTCAGCGAACCCCGGTTCGAAAGTGAGATCGGGGTGTGCAGCTTGGATTTCAGAGCGGGTGCTACGGCGGTCGCAGGTATGGACGCCCAGGGCCTCGCGGAGGAGTTCTTTGATGAGGGGTTTGTATGGGTGTGTGGGAGGGAAGGGGAGAGAGGAGAAGGAGAGGGTGGCTGTTTGGATTGTGCCTTTTGTGCGTTAGCACACGAACAATATTACAGTGGGACGAACGAGACTACGAAGTTTCCTAGAAGGCGAAGGGGAGAACGTACGTGTCAAAGGAGAAACATAATATGTCTCTGGTACTGGAATCCCTTTTGCGAGTTGAGCGGACCAAAGTTCGTTCACGGCTTTTGCCTGGGATTCGCCGAGGGGGGTCAGATGCGCATCTGCCCAGGTGATGCCGTCTGCGCCGTCGAGAGCGGACCAGTAGCACTTTGTCCATCTTAGCAAACGAGCACGACATTTTCTCAAGCGTAGCTCAGAGAAAAAAGAAGAAGAAGAAGAAGAAAACGTACATCCCAAGCTTTAGTCCCGTACTTTGTTTCCGCAACATTGTGCCACCCTTGACCGTGGCGACCTAGGAAAAGCACCTTGTAGCTTTCGCCGTCCTTCTTGGAAGCCTCGAGGCTGTGGACATAATTTTCAAAGCGTTGCCATTGCGTTCCCTTCTCTTTGTCTTCATCAGAGTCCGTAGGATATGTACGATTGATCAGTCCGAAATTCGAAGTTTTCTATTTCCCAACAAACAAATAAAAAGATGATTAGCTTTTGTTCCTCGTCTCCCAGAAACCCTTCTTTCTGATACGGGATTCTTTTTTTTCGCTGGGATATCCAAACTGAGGAGGAGGCTGTGTGTAAACTTGAGAGGTATTAAAGAACATACAAAATCAAACTCCTTATCATCCGTCTCATCCTCACTCTGCTGGAAAAATCCCTTTTGCACAGTGAATTTATAGTGAAAGTCCTGCTCTTTTCCACTACCGCTCCCTACGGGTGCGATATCCGAATGCCCCGCAGTACTCATTTTGAGATAGAATACGGATATAAAAGTAACGGAGACGAGGGCAATGGATCTATGTATGCATGAGTAAGGAATGTAAGTTGTGACTGGTAGGTCATGAAGAGAGAACAGAAAGAGATATATTTACATTGAGGTGCCAACACTACGAATCCTGGATCTTAGATAATTCGAGGGGACGAGCATAACGTGGGGTAAGTAGGAATCTAGGGGTCTCATATTTGACAGGCATGGGCAGGGAAAGGGCGCTAGTAGGCTTGGACAAGCCAATCACATGGCGGGGCCTCGTCACGGACAGGTGTTCTGGATATTCGCTCACCCATACATTCGGAATGACATGAAGACATGCCCCAGTGCTCCATAGTAGCCAAATACATAAATAACATGACGTCAGAAGGGCATGAGTTCAAAAAAAGGTGGATTCTATTTAGCGTCCAGTGCCGCTCAGTATGAGCCGGCTATCGCAGCCTGTGCAGTACAGGCTAGGCCAGAGCTATGATATGCTTCCCACCAAAACGGGAGTTACATCGTGATACCCATCAAACGCCCATCCCAAGCCCGCTAAATCAGAAGAGACTTATTGTAGCCTTGGCTACGTTTCTGAGCAAAGAAATCTGCTGGACCACAGCCTGATCGCATTCCAGCGCCCAAGCTCAAGTCGAAACAAAGAGTCGCTCATTTCTTCTTGTTCGGGAACTTGGGCTGTCCAATCTTGTCACCCCGCAGGATGACATTGAGCACACGCTCCATAGTCGCCAGCAACTTCTGATCTGGCGTGGCAGTACCGCGCTCAAAGTCTGCTACGATGGTGGGTGTGGTGTTGCACTTTGTAGCCAAGTCCTTTTGTGTCATTGTGGTGCCCTTGTCATTCTTCGCCTCGGAGCGCGCCTTTGATATGGCCTGACCGACAGCAATGCCAACGGTCTTGGGCTTAACGATGTCGTCGGAGCGGTCAACTTTGGTGAGACGTTGACCTTCTGATGAGGCACCCTGTGATTTGCTTGTCAGTAATGTTTTTGGTTGAGCTTTAAGGAAGACAAAGGCCCAGGTTTACTTACTGCGTTGGCTGAAGCGAACTTCTTCTCTGTGGCAATGATACCGCCGCTTCGCTGAGCGGCATTCAGGGCTGACTTGCCCTTGACTACGGTCTCGCGAGGTCCAGCAGCGCCGCCGCGGACACGGCTACCGATCTTGGTGACGGAGTTCCAGTCGTCAGACATTTTGATTGTGTGGCTGATAAAACAGAGGAGCTGAAGTTGGTGTGTAGAAGGCTGCGAGCGGTCTCGGTGATAGAGTATTGGGCGCTTGAGTTTGGCGTTTGTTTGTTTGTTGGTGAAGTGGCCAAAGGTGAAGGAGGTGAGTGAGGACAGTTGGATATATAGAATTGCCAAATAAGGTGGATGGATGTTTTGCTTATGTAGAGGCCCAAAGCAATATGGGCCGCGATGAGTCGAAGCGGCAGGTGAGGTCACCGCCACACGCTAGTCTCGCTTAGGTCAGGGCCTCTCGAAGCTTCCACGTTCGCGTTCCAGCTCCAGCCCTTCTTCCGCCCTTTCTTTCACCAAGCCACTGGCTCGTTGTTGTCGCTGACACGAGACATTGATTCCATGTCGCTATGCGCAAACAACTCGCCGTTTATCACCGAGATGCTGCACAACTCCATTGGGTTCACTCGTGCGCCATGGGAAAGCTGCAGTTCAGTTTCGGCGTCTTCGGAAATTTTGTCTGACCAAGACGCACCTCAGAATGTACACAACCCAGATGTTTTATCGTAAACAACCTCTTCAGTATACGTCGTCCTTCCTTCTCGATGATGGACTCGTTTGTCAAAAGCAGGAAGATTGATTACCGTTTCAAGCCCTTTGCTTGTACTATTGACCTAATGCTTGGGTGTCTGCTCCTTCTTCATGGACAGGCGCTGGTGCTTGAGGCGGGACATTAGCTAGCATGTTGAGACCAATTTCATCACAGGACATTGAGCATAACGGTTGTTTCTCCGTGTCAAAATTCCATTGATGAGCTTTTGCAGCCCGCTTGCTTGCAGCGCGTCTCTACCTGACCTGATAGCTCATGAACTTTTTGACAAAGGCCTGTCCAATTCGACAAGCGCCCAATCAACCACCGGAACGCCATTGCATGCATGCAGCCATATCGATTCGTATCGTCCGCATCTTTCACGTCCGAAAACCCATACATTACAAGTTTGCTTGCGCAGCCTCACGCGCAGCCTCGCGCTCAACCTCATACATGAAGTCGAAGTATGGCTTGTCAAAGTGGTGCACACGTACGTATCCGTCCTCTCCTCCACTGCAGTAACTCGTGCCCTTTGGATGTACAGCAACATAGTTCAGGGGTCCGAAGTGGCCACGTACGCGACCAATCTCCTCCATGAAGATCTTGTGGTAGAAACGGGCCTCGAACTTTCCTTGGCGTGCCGAAGTGGTGGTAACATCCATAGCGGCCTGTCCTCCTCCAAGAATAACGTAGTCCTTTACTGGTGTGATTGCTGCAGAGTTCAGCGGAGTGTCTGCAACGTATGACTTCAGAACGCTAAGGTCCTCGACATCGATGAGCTACCATGTGTCAGCCTGATCCAAGTGTGACGGGGTTTGCGAGTTGGTGTACCTTTGCCGTCTTGTCCTTGCTTGCGGTGATGAAGTACGACCTGTCAGGTGCCCATTGGATGTCGGCTACCAATTGTCAGTTCCTGGATTTTCTGACGACAAAACATATCGAGACTCACTGATTTGCATGTCTGGCTCATGTGCGTCGTAGTTTGAGCTAAGGAGTTCTCCGGTCTTGCCGTCCCACTGGGTGATTGAGCCATCTTCGTGTCCACTGATGATGTACTTGGCGAGGTATGAGAAGCCCGCAACGGTCGCCTTGGATTCGTCGCACACAATCCTGAGCAACTGTTCGTCTGATTGTTGCGCCTCAGGGTCGGGGTTGATTTCGTAGACGCAGATGGTCGAGAGGTGTCCGGATCGCTTCTCGGTAACACCAAGCAACTGCCTTCCGTCGGGAGAGAATTCGCAGCGTTTGATACTGGTGTTGAACTCCCAGGTGTGCAGAAGCTTGCCGGTCGGGACGTGCCATAATCGCATGGTGTTGTCGGCGCCACCAGTGGCCAGCAGCTCGGTGGATGGGTTTACGTCGACGGTCCATAGCGCTCCCTGGTGTCCGTGGTATGTTCCTATCCGCTCGCCGTTGTGTGAATCTGTATCGCATCAGCTTCAGTGCCCTTTCCGTGTATAGGCAGACCGTAAACTAACACCAAGCGCAGACAACATGGTCCTGGAAGTTGTTAACATGGCGAGTCTTGAAAATTGGTGGAGTTTCTTACCTTGGAAACGGAGAAGATGATGTCGCCATCAGCATTGTACTGCCTCTTGTCAATATCCCCTCGCCTCTCCATCGTGCATGGCGCATGCGTACCTTGACCTGGGTAAGGGCGCGCTCGTGACCCGAGAGAAGAATCGGCCTCATGTTGGCGGTATGGGAGTGTGGAGGCGGGGTTGGGTGTTGGCTTATATGGTGCGGGCGGCGTCTCTGAATTTCGGGTGACTCTTTTGCATATCGACGTTCAGCGGGCGAAGTGGGCTGCTTGGCACTAACCGACTAGCGTGGGTTCATCCCGCACTCGTGCATCTGCATCTGCATCCACCACTGCGGCTCAACACCACCACACTCGACTGACTCACATGGCTCGCGCATTGTACGTCTTCAGGCCGAGCTTACCGGAGATCAACCCTGTGTGTGTGTGTGTGTGTGTGTGTGTGTGTTCGTACTTGGAGTTGAGTATGAGTCAAACCCTGGATCAAGTCGGTTCCCCGTTCTAGATCGCATAGAACTGGACACATGAGGAACGCCGGGTGTCCAGTTATGACCAGTTTTGTGACTCATAAGCAGCTCAACGTTATAAGCGAGATTACGGCCATATCTCAGCGTGCTGACGAGTATTTCACCGCGAGAAACTCACTTATCTGCCCCATGGCCGCTTGCTTCATTTGCTCATGGACATGTCCGCTGCTTCTGAGAGTTGGTTTTTGGCCGAGTCCTACTCATGGCTTCCTTATTTGGTCTCTTAATACTTTCCACAAACGCAGTTTCAATGCTTGGAGAAGTCTTGGAAAGAACGTGACTTGTTGGCGCAACTCCCTTCGATTTTGCCATGCCGCCAGGACTTCTCTATTTGATACAGCTACTTTTCACAAAGTTGTACGCTCTCAAATGTGTTGTGACTATTAGTTACACTGGAAAAAATTCATTTCATCTCTCAGTCTTCGCTGGTCCCTGAGGATACATGTCTCGCACTTACCGTTTGCCATGAGCGCGGGCTTGGCGCAAACACACTCCTACCTATTGCTTGAGACTGGTAGCTTCTTGACATCCAAAGGTTCCTTATATGTTCATCATTCTCATAACACAAATCACAAGGATAGCTATCATTCCACTTCACTCGTTCAGGTTGCTATTAACAGCGATCCACAATTCTTAGAGCAAACATGTTTCCTGTCGTACGCGGTACCACCATCATATCAAATTTACTGGACAGGCTTGAGCCTCTTGAGCCAAACAACTACATAATAGCCCTTGGCAAGGGTAGCCTTCAATTCATTGGCAGCCCTAACGGCTACAAAGCGTGAGATCAGGTATATGGTTCTGGGAGAAGCTGGTCCAGCTGACCATTGCACAGCACATACATACCATCGGTTTTACACTTCGATCTCCTTACAATTCCCATTAAAAGAATCACATGGGCTTCCTTGGGGTGCACTCCTGATTCTTACTTTTTCAAGCTCGAGCTGATCAACGGAGAATTCACGTACAGCATTGGCACACATCGGCCGCCAGCCTTGGAAGAATTCCTGGTGAATCTTACCAGATCAAAAACTCACAAATCTCATCTGCGGATACAATTTGGAGCAAGCGGTTCTTTTGTTGCATGGTCAAACACAGTTTGGATCTGCTCCAAAGTTCCACCACAGCTCATTTTAAGATTGTGA